AATCAGGAGGTGTGAAGTCAGGATAGGTGGAGAGGTGTGAAATGAAACCTACAATGAATAGAGAGAATTTAGAAGAAAAGTGGTCTGTCGTTAAGAGAAGGGGGAAGGTGTGATCCTTCACTGTAGCTGCAGGATAATTTTGGTTTCTGTAGGCTTTCATTTCACACCTCTCTTTGCATGAGTCCATGGATCCATCCTGCTGTGTGTTAAAAATGCAGGTTTGTGGTGATGGTGTGGGGTGTGTTTTGTGGCACACATTGGGTAACTTCTTACAGTGGAGCAATGATTGAATGCCACAGGATATCTGAACATCACTGCTAATCAGGTGTATTTCTTCATGGCAGCAGTGTACCCATCTGTGAATGGGCTCTTTTAGCAGGATAATGCTACATGCCACAAGGCTAGGAAAGGGAATTCAGCTTAATGCAGTGGCCTTCCCAGTCACCAGATCTCAATCCAATCGAGTATTTGTTGGATGACATGGAGCAAGCTATTTGGAGTAGAGATCCACCACCAATTAATTTGCAACAACTATGGGACACATTGGAGTCAACACAGCCCTGCATCCCTGTGCCACACTTTTGACACCTTGTTGAGTCCATGTCCCAATGATTTCAGGCTGTTCTGAGAGCAAATGGATGACAAACTCACTACTAGGCAGAGGTACCTAATAAAGTGGCCACCCAGTGTAAATGTTACAATATTAATTCTAAGAAACATAAAAGTTCTCAGTTTGAAGAAAAGGTTTTGTTGTTAATGTTTGCCAAAGGCATTTGTTCCATAACACTGACTTGCTCCACAGATGGCAAAGTGTTAAGCATTGTGATTACTGCTGTTGAAGTGTTACAAATCTAGAAATACTGTGACATTACTTTCTTTTACTTTTGTGTATGTTCCACAAAGCTGTCAGTTAACAGCTATTTAGTTTCTGTAGTGTACAGTATAGCTGGGTACATGTGTTACAGGTTATGCAGTGAACTACTACTTTACGGACTCTCTGTACAATAACTGATATTCTTACACTGTATATGGCTTATCTTGAGCTGATATATGCTTTTTAGAAGCATATCAGAAGGACAGCTCTCACTGTACAATAAATATTCTTTGCAGGGTCTCATCCCTTTTATATAAAATTAGCTGTGGTGTTTTAAAAATAAGTGCAGTACAGTAGATCAGTCTTGCTATTAAATTATGAAATCCTTGGCACAATTTTCTGTCATGCCTCTCTTGGTGGTCTAGTAATGGAGGATTGGAGGAATTATGTTGTGTGAGCTTTCTATTGTTGTTTAAATTATTTTCTCAATGTCTGAAATCTGTATTCAGTTGTTACAAATCTTCTATGTACAACCACAATTTCAAAAAGTCACTAATTTCAAGGGTACAGTATGTAAGATTCTGTTAGACAGGCACATGAATCAAGTGCTTACATTGTAGAAGATCCCCACTAGACAGTGTAACTTAGAGAACTTTGAATAAGATGCACAAGAAATGAATGTGACTCCTCAGCCTACTTTACTGTCCATGTTTATGTTCAATTAGTTTATTGGTTTAGATATTCAGAAAAGACAAACACATTTTACAAGGTACCATATACAATAACAAATGTGAGCAATCATCGTGGTATGGCAGACTAGATACCTAAACAAACTTGTCTGGCACTGGACCTATTTAGAACTCTATATTTGAATCTCTTTCAAAAATTTTAGATTTGTCCTTTGAGCCCTTTCCCCTAATACAGTAGCTATCTATGGTGTTCCTCATAATTCCATTTTATCTTATATTCACTTAGGGACCCTGGCCTTTTCCACTTTACTAGTGAAATATTTGGTTTTACACCATTGGAAACAACTTCTTACTGTCTACAATAAAGCAAAAAAGCCTAGTGGTTAACTGTTAACAGGTTAACCATTGACAAAACAGAAATGCACAAAAAATACAGTAAGAGGAATAGAAGATTTCCTACATTCTCAGTATCGTTTTCTGAGACTCACAGATAAGACAGGCACTTCTTCCCTGGAGATTAAATAAAATCTGACTTTATTTACTAAGAGAAGCCCTTCCTTCTCCCAACTGAAAAGCATTTTGCACAGAAAACACCCTGTACTTCTCAATCTTGGTCAGTCAAGTTAATAAAGGGGCTCTTTTAGCTCACTAACTTGGTCATTGGTTGTCCAGTGCTTTGTGCTCCCTGAACTAGCATTAGTGCATACATGCATCATTCCCAATTCTTGAATTCATAAGAAACTTCTGAAACTGAGGCAGTTTCTAGTGGAAAGCTCCAGGGAATTCTATCCATACTTGCTTTGTCCCTGAATTGCAGAATGGTAAGCTGACGGTGAAGGCATGTAAAAGCAGTATAATTTTAAAACAGAAAAATATTGAATTTTTCTGTACTGAATTTTGTTACACATCTGTAACAATTAAACCATTTTACCATTTACCATTTATGGTTTTATCATTCTTCATACAGTATGAAACATTTAGTTAAAAATATGTACTGTATACTGTACGTATATACAGGATGCATTTATAGTAGTATGTACAGTACACTGTGTTGGGATGATTTGTTCAGGAAGAAACACTCATTTGAAGCCTGTTCATATCGTTCTGCCAATGAACTATTGTAATTTCACATATCTGGAAGGCAACTTTTATTTTAGTTCAATTAAATATTGTGCTTTGCACTTTTTTTGATTAGGATTGATATACTGTTTACAACAGTTTGGCTGCCTAGCATGACAGATCTGCTGAGGAACATTGGCTTAGGATTTCTATAAGGTGTAAGGTGTTTTATGTTATTACATAGGCAGTAATACATAGGCAGTAATTTATCATCTCCTTGTGGTTTCCACACTAGACATGCAACCTTAAATCTCAAGTGACAGACGGTCACAATAAAAACCTAACTGCTGTCACACAGTAAATTATTGAATATGATCATATTCCAAGAGTTTTTAGCAACTGTTTGGATGGCTTTAGACACATATTCTGTGGTTCAGGAAACATTCTCAAATCTCATGACTTGAAGTCCTCAGAGAGGGATTGTGGAAATGTTCAGATGAATCCCTAGCTGGGTTTCAGTTAGTATTCCCTCACTACTTAGATTTTTTTTACGCTCAGTGCTGGATTTTGGGTCCCAAATCAGCTTCAGGATGAGTTATAATTTGCTACTACCTGCAACTTTTTTTCTGAGATTTTTGGCCACTTGCACTATATATTGCACCGTTCGGTAATTGTGTCCCAAAACTGAGTCACATCAAAAGTCGAAGAAAAGCTGTTCTAATGGGTAAAATCTCTTAACTTTGTCTTTAAGGGTGCAACTACAAGTATGACTGCAGGTAATATTTACATTTCTTGTAACCCTGACCCCACTCTGGCCCCCAAAGGGCCCTCATTTACTGTATGTATCATTTTAACAACATTTTTCACCTGATTGGAAATTTACCTAAAGAAGATAGATTATTGAATCAGATCATGTTCAAAGAGCTTTTATCATTGATTGGGATGGTTTTAGACTCTTATTTGGTAGTTTTGGAAACATTTTGAAATCTGATGATTTTAAGGCCTCAGAGACAGATTCTGGAAATGTTCAGTCAGTCCTGGATTTGTACTGCCACATACATCTTATTAAAAAGCTGCAACATCTGAGAACATGAAGTGCCTTCAGTGCTGTAAGAAAATAATTACACTTACCTAATGAGGAGAGTTCCTAATTATCTACAATATATACCCCCACTTATATAAATTGCAACATAAGAAATAGTGCTTTTTTTGCTTCATAAGGAACACAGTTCAGAAGCACAGCACATACTTGCTTGTGACACACTTGCCTTTGTAAAAGTGCAAATTAGGGACAAATTATAAAGAAATAATTCTTTATACCTTTAACGCTTGCAGTAGCATTTATACAAAGGCAAAGCTAATGAGTTTTTCTGTGATTCTGAATGCAGGTGGAATCTCCTTCTTCAAAGGTAGAGCTTTAGTACTCTTCCAACACTTCGTGGGAGACCTGTTTGTTACTGGAATTTCCATGTTATCTTTTTTTCCCTTAACTGCTTACTGTATGTGGGGATTCCTGGAGATGAATTATCTTGTTAACTTTGAAGATAGCTTTGAGGTCCTTGTTGTATTAGGGTTAGGGTATTACTTTGTAATATACACTACAGTACTAATTCTTTCTCTTAATGGGCAGATATTTTCATAGTATACCAGGACAGAAGGGTCTTGGCATCTGCAGATTTAACATTCATAAATTTGTTCACGATTTGGTCAGGGCGACGGGGTCTTAGATGAAAGAAGAGAAGATGGACACACAACCTAGCTGTTGGTTGTTAATGGCAACTTTCGCATTAGCTGTGCTGCAGACTAAGATTGTGAGACAAATCTAGCTAGTGAGTGAGTCTCTCCCTGCCCCCTTCCCGAGTACCCTCTACCCAGTATTCACATCTCAATGTGGTCTTGTTTTTATATTGTAGCGAACACTCCAGGTTCTGTGTCAGCAGTGTGGGGAATGACAGGCTGAAGGTAACTTTGTCATAGAGCCTGTAGTTTTATTTCTTGTTTCATTATAGGGGGGTGTGCTAATCATGGAGGCTGAGAGAAAAAGAGGGATTCATGTTATTTATTTTAACTGATTATTATAAGTTACTGTTGTAATGTTATTTAAACTAACAAAGCCAAATCATTAGCACTTTAATTATATAAGGGAGGCTTACTTACAGTATGTCTTTTAACCATACATGCTACACTGTATACTGTGGTACATTACGTGATGGTATGGGGTGGACTTAGTTACTGTACTGTATATGCAAATTTGGCTATTCATGATAGTTCTCTGCACCAAAAGCTCATCTACCACAGAGTATGGTATTTTAAAATTGTTGATAGAAGTTTTTGTTTGCCCATTACACCATCAGTTATCAAAAAGGAAATCCCTCTCTAACAAAAAATAAAAGATTAAAAAAACATTTTAATTGTCACAAATAAACAACCAGAACAAGGATGTTTTGACATTAAATTTATTACACTCTGCATTTGGCATTAAATTGGCTAGAAAGATAGGTGCCATCTGCAACTAAAATTCAGGGTGAAAACCAAGAATCTTATATACATAAAGCTTTCAACATAATAAAAATCAAAACCCAATCCAGGAAGAATGTTCATCACAAATCATTATCTACTGTACTGTGTCTACAGTATTAGTTATACAGGCACAGTATAATGGTTCCTTTCTTTAGCCACAGAACTATGTACAAATTGTACATACTCCAGGTGAAGAGCTTGGTTTGTAAGATGAAAGGATAAATGCATTCAGAAGACTTAGCAGCATGTAAGTGAATTCAAATAAACTAGGTTAACACCTTTATGTTGAAAACAAAAAAAGACACTTAAACATTAACAATTAAGAATCAAGAAAGTCATAAAGGACATCTAAGACAAACATTGACATGAGTTGTAATGAGTAAAAATACCGCTTTTGTTGAGAATGTAGAGAACCAATGATACAATCACTGGGTACAGCATGTTATGAGCCTGTTGATAACCAGTTTCACACACTTTGGTCACTGATCAATTGCAATTGCTAACATTAAAGCCAATCTTTAACGGTTTAAGAGCATTGTGGTTTAATCGCTATTATGCAGCCACTATAAGATTACATAATATGATGGTTGCTCCCACTAATCATAATAGGCTGAACCTTTGGGTAATACGTTACTAACTGCAACCCAAGTTTAAGCAATAAAAAACAGCTTATGGATAACAGAATTAATCACCAAAAGTCTATTTGCAAGAATAATGTGCGCTGCATTTTAGCTGTTAAACAGATTACTGTATTGTACCTGTGAAAGCTGCTACTCACTATCTCGTTTTGCAAGTAAACACAATCACTGATTGCACACAAAAAAACACTGTCTAACAGTGTTGGTAAGCTGCGAAGAAACGTGCAACCAATTGTTTTACACATGATATCTGAAAGGATGTGAAGAAAATTAGTTTTCGGGTTAATATTCATAAAGGTTTAGTTTATCTTCATTCCGGGTTCCAGTTATCGTAGATTCCTCGCCATCTCACAGCAAAGTGCGTAGTGCTGCATGCCTTCACAGTATCCACGTGGCACCTTCCCAGCTCTCTTCAACTGCTGCTGACTTCATCAGTGGTGTCCACAGCATCAGACATCTGTCCATCCAGAGACCCTCTTGCTCGCCATATTTTCACAGTACGATCACTATTAAAAACGAAAAAAAAATAAATGGCATTCCCAATCCATGGACTTCTATATTAAAAAAAGTCAAATTTAGCAAAGAAGCTCCTTTCTTATTTCCAACAAATGCATCACCTGTTTTTTTAATGAAGAAAAAGCAGGCAATTAAACAAAAGATCTTCATTTGTGCAATGCACTGCTTTCAGCACTAGAGTTAAAAAACGCAAAAGCCAGTTGTGTTTCACTAAGTGGTAAATGGTAGAAGAAGAGCCATTCACAATTTGTTTTGCTGGAAGCTTGAGAGGGAGCATCAAGTGCTGCAACAGTGGATCTTTCCCTGGTTTCACTTCAAACCTCCGGGACCTTACTAGGCACTTGCAGGCTCATGCTGTCATTGGTGATCGGCACAGAACCATGTATACATTGCCACAGAGCATGTAACACGTTAAAAGATGAATAGTGCAATGAATGAGAGTGTAAGAGGAGTCTGTACAGACTTCCTCTTTTATCTTGTGCGGGTACAATTGTCATAGCTATGAGCTGAGACATACAGACATAACTGGTGATTCCAAATATGATTAATATGTTTTCCTATGAAATGTTGGCTACTTAAACCTGAGAAAAAATACTGTACAGTACTGTACTAACACTGTAGTACTGAATTTGCTACTTCAGCTTGACATTGCAAATTGTTTGTACAAGACATCACATATAAGAGAGGGTGGACAGTCATGTGAGATGAGCAACAGTACGACAACTGTACTGGTAACAGGATTAAATGCACAACTCTGATGAAATGTTTAACATTGTAGGGCAGGTGCAATATTATAATAGTCTATGAATATCTTAATAAGGGGGCAAGTCAATGTATTTGTAATACACAGAACGTGCTGTTGCTGGGTGATTGACTTACTCTGCCGCTGTAAAGATGTGGCTGGAGTTGGTAGAGATGGCGTTTATAGGACTCTCGTGGCCCTTTATTTCTCCCAGAGGCGAGAGGGTGTCTGAGTGCCACAGTTTGAGGACGCCTGCCCTGCAGCCACTCAGGAGTGCTGGGTTTCCAGGTACAATTCCTAGAGCGCACACCCAGTCTCTATGGGCGTTTGGAACTTGCTGGAGAAACAAAACCACCATTGATTAGACTCCTGTGAACCCAGTTTCTACATGACTGAGACAAAGCAGTCCTCTGTGGCAAATTCTGTTTGCAGTACCAGCAACACTATACTAACCGCACATGAATACTGACTGATTTTCATGAACTAGTGATCTGAAGGTAAAATTCCTTACATTCAAGGGTCTGATCTCAAAGAAATGGTAAAAACACAATGATCTTGATTCTTAAGAGCAGGGTTGCTTGATACAAAACTTTAATGGCATTCCTGATTGATTAGAAGACATGGCAGTACCGATAAAGAGGACCATCACAAAATCTGCTGTGTAATCCAGTTACCTGGAGGAGATCTTTGCGAGACAGGTCCCATTTTTTAATACCATTATCTCTTGAGCCACTGAAGAGACTGTCTCCCTGGATGACCAGAGACTCAATGCCATCATAATGTGGAGGCTCAAAGTTGTGTGTCGGGCTTACGGTTCCCAGCGCTCCTTCACTTACGTCAAACATCTGCACAATCAAATGCCAATAAGTTATTGATGTTATCATTTACTCAGCAGAAACATGTACACGTGAACAGAACATCTAAACACAAAAAGAATAAACAAAAATAAAATGACAATATGACTTGCACAATAAAGCTGGAAGTGTGTGTGCACACATGTATCATTGCTCAAACTGCAATATACAAGCTCCCAGGGGTACATAAAACAAGTCTATTTAGTTTACAGCAGAAACACTATATTTTACCACTTCCACATGTTATCCCTGGTATCATTATGCCTATTAGTATTTTGTTAGTATATTAGTTAGTATTTTGTTGCAATGGTTTTCAGAGCTTTAGAGCTAAATTTCATAGTTTGAGTGAATATTGCTCATCAGTACTGGGTTCAGTATCAGAATACACCAATTACTCAGATACTGTACAATTAAGAAACTTGCAAAGGAAAAGGCTAAGTCAGCTTTGGAGGCTTTTGCCACAAAAATAAGACAGTATAATTAGTAATAATGACAATGCAGCGCAGCTACAGCTAGGAAGGTTGTTTCATTCACAAAATGATGTACAGTACAAGTAAAATCAATTGAATGCCTGTATACTGGATATACAGTAATACGTTAATAATAAGTTAGTAGTTGCCCACAATACTGTGTTGTTTCTGTTATATGACTAAATATTACATTGACACTGAAAAATAATCATTTTAAGTTTTGCCTTAAAACGTAGTGGCAACCTTTATGTAGTGGTCTTTTGATCCAGTAATGATCAGATCTTGTCCAGTTCCAGTGTGGTCAACAGTCAGACACATAACAGGACCAAGGTGTCCAGTCAGTTTGCCTGTGGACAGAAACCTAATAAAAAGAGAGGGATACAGATTTGAATAAGGTACTGTTCTTCTCTAGATATGTTCTTTTAAAATAATGGGCCAAACAAAAAAAATCTGCAAAAGCTATCAATGCTATGCAAGTTGACATCATACCTGAACCAAAGCATAAAAATGTACTGTATTCTCTTGGGGATGTGCAGTATTAAATCTTTTTTGCAATACTATTTCTAAATACTGCCTTAAAATATTCATAATGCATTAACATCTTACAGAATGAATGGCTTTAAGGTTTTATGCTTCTGACACTCAATATTTTCCAGTCTTTTTAAATGCTCATTTACCTCTTAAGGTCCCACATTCTAACTGCATTTCCTGCAGCTGCATAGAGGAAGGTGCCTGTGGGGTTCAGTGCAATTTGATTGATCTGGTTTTCTCCAGCAGGTATTGTAACAGTCCTATTAGTATTAGCTGCACAAGCATCCCCTGGCGTCACCTGGCCTGAAGACCTGAGGAGAAAGATTAGAGTGTTTCTTACTTTTTTTCTTATGTTTACTTCACACTACATTTATAAGCAGCCACATTTTTTTTACCTTATGCTGCTATTGTTAAGCCCCCATTGTATTCAATGTTGCAATCTACAGTACTCCAGCACCAAGCACAGCAAAGCATGATACTCTATCCTGTTCTGCCTTTTTTTGGTCTGCCTGTTCTGCTTTAACTCTATGCATCTATGATAATGAAGAGGAGAGTAAAATGACATAAATAAACTTCCTCCTTATCTGTGGTACAGTATATCTATCAGTGGTTTTACTTACTTGTGGTGCTAGGCAAAGCCTGGCCTGAAGGGCATTTTCAAAATTTTGAAGACCATCTAAGAAGCTCAGAGGTTCTCAGACTGTTTCCAAGACTCAATTCAAAATGTGCATTTTCCGATTCCCACCTTCCCAGTTCTTTATTTGCTCTACATAGGTACAATCACTCGCAGATCTTAATTGTCTTTGGTTGAGATTTTTATAGCAAAAATGATTTTACCCATGCCAAAACATAAATCAGAAAAGGGCCGAGCAAATGACTGAACTTCACCATTATCGCCTCTGGATTTACTTTTCGCCTCCATCAATACCAGATTGTGCATATTTCCTTGTACGAGACTGTAGCCACACCTAAATGAGACCTGAATACTGCACTCAATAACTTATTTATACAATGAATAAGTATGTGCTTTATATTCATTTTTAAAATTGAAAAGATTGCAATAAATAAATACAATTGCTGAGATTTATGACATCCTTTGAGTACCCATTTGTTTTTAAAAGGACATTTTGACCAAAATGTGTCAATTTAATTATGAAGTGTAAACATAACTAAATTACACTGTGCCCTTTAGATATATTGAGACAGCAAAGTATTTTGTGCTTTCCAGTCAAGCAATTGTATTAAATTTATTAGAATAATATGAATGATATGAACAATGCAATAAACATTGTATTTTTAAGGGAATAACTGCCCTTAATTAAGTTGTTTTTCTGATTCAGAAAATTCAATTTTTTTCTTCAGCATGGAAAATTCATATACCATTGTATTTACTGTTAAATCTGCACAGTGACTTGGAAAATCTTAGAGTTTCTCCTGATGAATATTTGGTTTCACTAGCCACATGTTTTGGGTAATTGTCATGCTGCGCGTGAAGAGAGGCCAAATAACAGTGGAAGCAATATCTTATACATATGTTCACACCTGAAGAAGGCTCCATGGCCGAAACGTTGTGTTCTTTCTTCTTTTTTTCAGCATGGAATAAACCTATTACTTGTTCCTTTGCATCTTATTTGTATGCAGACAAAATGTTTTTGTATTCGTTTAAATACAAGTCAGAATGTGAAAGTAAAAAGAAGTGTGACAGTTCCAGAGGTGGCTAAACCTTTTACCTGTGTTTTGACTGTGCTGTCCTAATACTTTTGGAGGGCACTGCAAATTACAAAAATCCTTCTCATTTAATGGAACAAGTAAATTAATAGTTTTAATAAAATCAATGTTTTTGAGAGACATCATTAGAGTACTTACGTCAGTGTTCGTATGCACTTGGCTGAATCTCTTATATCCCACACCTTAATATAAGATGTGGAGACTGTGAAAACCAAACTGGAGCAGTATTTCACTGATACCACGTTGTTTGGATGACCCCCTAAAGACATTATCTCCTGTCCAGTAACCAAATTCCACACTTTGCAAGTGCGATCTGGGGAAACATAACAATTTCAATTATACAATGTTGAACAAGTAATACTACTGTATATATGCTGCTATATAATCATAATGCAAACAAAAAATAATAAATTCCATCATGTAGTCAATACTTGACAGATGCTTTGAATCTAGGTTAATTCTTAAACTTTTTCCTGAGTTTTAAAGAGACCTCCTACCTTTGGAGCCTGTAAAAAGGAGATCATCAGTGGAGTCTACGCAGAGTACAGCCTTTGTATGTCCTTCAGCCACATGGATACACTGCAAGAGTGCAGTTCTGTTGCTTTTTGTAGTAGGGAATGGGTTGATTACACCTCTAAAATCAATACAGATTGCAACATAACATATTATGCATTATTAAGAGTCAAACTGTTTTAAGCAGTAATTTAAGTTTCTACAAACAAAGGTAAAGCATATTTTTCATTAGGCTTCAATAAATTAAATCAGCATGCTTGCAACACAGAAGCACCAGCTTAACAAGCAGCAACATTAAAAAAAGGCAAATGCACAGAGATAAACATGGCAGCCCTTCAGCAACATGCAGCAAAAGGGAATAAGATGGTTTAACAATTATGATCAGATACAAACCCTCCAGGACAGAAAGGAAAGACCCAAAAGAGAGTACCTGTGTACCTCCAATAGAGAAGAATCACTTTCATCAGCCCTATTACACAGCAGCAGCGCCACTGAGAGGAGAAACAGCAACAGATGTCTCTCAACAGGGTGACCAGAAGAGCTGATACTGCAGCTCCACACTCACAAACACCTAATAGAGACACACCCAGGACTATAATCATTCAGAAAAGTTCAAACACTATATGAAGATTGTGTTCTTCCATGGAAAACCTACTTATCTGAGATTGATAGTTTTGGTTATTAAAAGAAAGAGGGTTTTTAAATCAAATGCCAATTGTATTAGTGGTAGATCTGAAGAGGCTTTCTTTAAGTGAATAACAACAGAATTCACATGTGACCCTGCTGGTTGAATGGTGCTGTTTAAAGATGAGATCACTTTAATTTCAGACTCCATTGTTCCTAATGTACCTGACAACATTACGAGCACACACATTCCTCAAATTTGGAGTAGTTAATGATGTCATGTTTGATAATACAGATGTGTGACTGTGTATTCAACGTATGTGTGTTAACAGACAATTAATCACTCAAGGAAAAGGCCTCTACTGGGAACGAAAGGAAACTGAATGAGTCTAGACAAACCCAAAGAACACTGACGAGCAAAAAAAAAAAAACTTTTAACATGGTGTTTCATACATTTGGCACACAATTTTAAAACTGTGTATATTTAGACATATGTAACTTTTTTGAAGGTTTCCCTGGCCTGTATTATGTATACTGTCTAATCATTTTAGAAATTTAGGTACATTTACACCATGATACTAGGAACAATTTTTGTGTTGGTGAATTCCTTAGTTCATGTTAAATGAGGGCTTTCTTTTGACTTGTTTTTACTCTCAAAGCTCTAGGAATTTCATTCTAGTCTAAAAAATCAATTGCTTTTCTCTTACTTATTTGGCTGAGCTTCTGAATTCCCCTGAGAAACTGCAAGACGGCTAAAAACATTCTGTTCACTACAGGATCGGCTTGGAGGAGAAGAGGGGTCTATCAAACTGGTCTCTGGGGATCCTGAATTAGAGCTGCAACATCAAATGTTTTAACTGAACGTTCATTCAGACTTACAAATTACTATAGCCATCAAGTCTCCAGAAACAATAACACAAACTAACCTTGAGGTTGCATACATATTTACAGAACCAAATTTGACACTTTTACAATTTGAGATAAAGTATCTTTGACGCATACCCTCAGAACAAAACTGGGCTCACAAAATGAAATGGATTATAGATTGGCAATATCATTTCATGGAAGAAAAGAAACATCAGAAACATTATGAATTTGCATGCATTTCTGGAAGTTATAGGCATGTAGCAGATTTTTCAGATCAACAAAGTCAAAGCTGGTGGTTTAATTACAACAATGTATTACAATCGTGTCAAGAGAAAATCTGAGTGGACAAAGCTTGAGTCTACATTGTTAACAAGCAGCAATTTTAATCACTCAGTTGTTTTATCTCACCTTATTCCCCAAGGTCTACTTAAAAAATAACTTAATTAGAGGTACAGCAAACGAATGATGCTTTCATAGAGTGTGCATTGATAGAAATCTAGAATTTAAATGAAAAATAGAAGTGATGAAGATTAAACAGTAAGTCATACACTGAATGTACTATATTAAACTGTAACCACTCCAATGGGAATGCTTAATGCTTGTGTTCAGTACACACATATACTGTACATAGACACACATACACACAGTACTGTATATGACAAAAAAGGAACAGGGGCACGTTATGTTTTTTTCTGACATGATTACATTCATTGTAGGACTTTTAACTGGGAATGATCCAAATCAGGCAAAGCAATGGTTCAATCGGATGGCGCATGCTTTTTCACTACAGCTACTTTATGAAAAACTTTTATTATTGTTAAAAATGACAAGAGATCTCTGGCCTGCAAGATGACAACTCTTACTGTTTGACTTCCTTTCTCTTGGCCTTTTCTCCTGCCATTTGTTCCATTTCATACATCTTTCTTCGGGTCAAAGGAGACGGCTCGGGTGCTCTCTTTTCTGTGCCTGTGGACTGTCTGGAACTAATGCAATATTTGTGACATTTTATAGTTTTGTTTGTGTTAGTGAGAAAAGCAAACTCAGAGCAGCATAAAATGAAAAACAGGTGGGTAACATTTAATGTTGTGGGATCCCATACAGAGCACAGAATTTTACCTCCCGCCTTGTTCCAGTTACTGTTCCATCTTCATCAGATTCTTGCACTACTAACTGTCCAATACCAACCTTCTGGCATCAGCAATACTCTTTACACTATTGCAACCTGTCTCCACCTGTTGCATGTATTCACAGATATTTAGTAAAGCAGTTGTTAAAATTGTTATATTTGGTGCTTCAACAATAAGCTCAGATGCTTATCTGCAGAATTCAACAGCGCCCAGAAAGGTCATGCATAAACACTGTGAGGCGAAACAAGTTAATAAGGCACAGATATAAGAGGCAGGAATATTATAATTAAAATAAAGCCCACAAATTTTGATCATATTATTTCCAACCCTGTCACTCAAGGTCATAGCCCTATTAAACCAAAACAATAAACAATGATTGCAAAAATTGTTCACTTGAGACTGCAATCATATTCTTAGAAATGGAACACTTTAAAAGAAGCTAAGAATGTAACTTCTTAAAGGCTCATCATCTTACATACTGTATAAAATCCTCTTTTACACCATTATGTACTCCAATTTTTCTAAGGAAATGTCATAACCTGCATTAACTGGAAAACTGAAGATTACATTAGCAAAGTAAAATAAGCTGCAGCATGCTAGAGGCTCAGGTATGTGGCAGACTTACATGCCACCTTGTTTAAAAGGTGGGCCTGACGGTGAAGGCAGTGGGTCTCGTTCCCTAGCAGCAGCCCTGGCAATCTCTGCATCTTCCCCACTCTCCTGGGCTTCAGCGACTGGCAGGAGAGGGGCAGAGAAGCCCTCTGGTGTAGCGTCAAGGGCAGGGTCACTGCTGTGTGCATACAGTAGCTCCATCTGAGTAGTTGTCCTTCTTCGGGCCTAAAACACAGTACAGTAGTCCGTATCGGAAAAGCATTACATTTAGAAAAGTCAAAACATTTAAAATAAAATTCTGTTCATGATATATAAATAGAATTTTTATAAACAGTGAGTACAGCATGAACAGGATGTGGCATGATGTATTCAACATGATTTTCCATGGAAGGAAATGGAATATTACCTTCTGCCAAGATGAATACTGAGCATGTGTATTGCAAATTTCACTGGTACCTCCAGTTATTAATACGACTGATATACAGGGATTTCTCTAGGCAGAGAATTAAACTGAAGCCTCTTGCTCCACAAGCTAGATGAATGAATTTCTGAATTTATATTATATTGGAGGAAAAAACTGCTAATTTGTGCTTTCTGTAAACTTCATCACATGTTTCATCACATACTGTATAACTACAGTATGTCAAAACCTAAAGTTCTCAGTTGTTATTTAAAATGGATAACATAATTCAGGCAGGATTCAAGAAGTTTATACCTTATTCCTTGGTTTGGTTTCTCCACAGAGCTTCATGAGGTCAGAGGCTAATGAGCTAAGACATATGAGAGACAATGCATAAGTGATGGTGAAACCTTAATACATGTTTTAAACATACTCCATTCATCTGACAAGCACAAATTCAATGCAGAGCAATAATTACAACTCTTATGAGCAAGTCTCAAGATGTACTTACTTTCCTTCTGTGCCTGGGCTCTGGGGTGATTCGTCACTGCTACTTTCATCTCCATTTTCTAGTCAATTATAAGAAAACAAGCCATTTAATTACTTTTTTTCAAATCCAACATTTAAAAAAATAGCTCTTAAGTAAGTTTGTGCTATTAAACTACGTATGAATATAAGGCTGTCGATTACCCATTTGCATTGTCATCAAAAGTATAACTGTTTAAATGAGAAATACACATTTAAAAACCTAATAAACACAGTCTTTCCAATTTGAAGTGTTTACACCTGAAAGAAAAACATACTTTTCCCCATTTACCTAAAGTTGTGGATTTCAGTAGAAAAATCTGAACTTAGGTTAGCATTCCTTAACAAGTTTTATACCGGGAGAAAACAGACATAATAGAGACATAAATGTCATGCTCTTCAAAATTACAGCAATATGGCAGCCAGCTTGTAATACTTTCATCAAACTTTAGCGCAGGGAGTTACAACATAAGGTAAGTACAAAAGGAATACTCAAACATGTAACGGTTTAACAAAAACAAATTAGGATGACGCACTTGGAATGCAAATATAAGAGGACTATGAGTTTAGACAAGCTTTATCATTCTACCTGTACTTCAAACGGATGACAGTTAATTGGTCAACATTTGTGGCTGTATCGCAAAAGGGACTCAATAACATGGAAGGTGGTAGGTCAGTTGGCAATGGTAAGCTTCTCAGCAACATTTCATGCACAACCTGTTGTTACGAACTCTGGTTAGTCTGATAACCCATGCATTAATGCAGTACAGAAGGGGCTTGTTTTAATACTTACCTACTGGTATGCTACCTAGTTCTGTTTGAATTCAGGCAACAAGGAAACAAAAAGCAACACACCAATCAAAAACACATTCCCTTATAAAAATTAAAATAAAAAATAGAACACTACACCTAATATTTAAGCACTCTAATCTTTATCACCATGAATGGAATAGATGCTGCAGCACCGAAACACTGAAAAGTCAGCTGCATAAAGGTGAGGTTGTTCACAAAATATTAGATTCAAAATGTCTGGACAGCTGTAGGAGCTTGCATGAAATTACTCGCCTAAAAATGATCTATAGTGCTTGTGTTAACAGTCTGAATACCACAGGCAGTTACTGAATTTCTCAAGAATCCAAACTGTCCAGAAAAGTCTTCAGCCACATCATTAATCACTCAATTGAGGACATAACAGGTATTTGATGAGTCTCAGTAACAAAGAGTTTGAAACTCCATTTCATATCCTCAAGAAAAAAAACGAGTGCAATTGAATTTGATTGTACAGATATATTGTACAAAACTACCAAAAAGCATTACAAAAGAAGATGGAGGGGAAGCACTACGGCTTTAGTTTTCCATCAGTATGGCCTATTGTTTTATCCATGACTGCAAAATAGAATTATCATTTATACAGCATCTATTCAAATGACTGCCCCAAGCAAAGCAAACATTTATCTAATCATGCAGTAAACCTTGATGTCAGACCTTTTTCAGACAATGTAAAACGTTACCTTGTAATGCATTTCCAAGCAAAGCATCCAGTTCAGGGTTGAATTCAGCTTTCTCTTTCAGCATGTGGAACAAGAGCTGGTTCTGAGTTGCGCTGTTTATTTCCGTTTGCTTGAGACGACCCTCCATCACTTTGATCTGAGACTCCTTTTGGGCAGCTTGAAAACCCTAAGGCGAATGTGCATTTTGTTTTAAGCGTGTGTCAGGGAGGGGGGGTTAAAATAATGGGAAAACTGTCATTTGCTGGACTAGATAGTTCAGACATCTTCAGGGTTCTTACTCAAAGAACTCAATTGTGAAAGAAATTTCATGATGAATATCATCCCCATTTACCATACCGGAGAGCTACAGCATGTGACTGAGGTAAGACCAACAAACAACGAATAGGAGAGGCACAGATGGCCTCCTTTCCTTAGCAAAAAACGCACTAAAGATAATTTGACATATTCAGTAAAAACGTACCAAAAATAAAAACAAACATCAAAAGCAAAAATAAATTACCTTGTTGATGGCCATTGACAGGAAATGGTCCAGCAGGAAACGAGCTTCTGATAAAGTGCAGGAACTAATCACTGCAGTAACATCTACTGTGTCCCCTTCTTCCTACAAAGTGCATTCAAACAAACATAAGCAAGCGAGTACCCATTTAGAGAATTATAAGAATATTGAGTATAACTTTATATTGGTAACGAAATCGCCAAAAGGCCCCCCGGGCAAAAGTAATAACAGATTTAAATAGATTCAGTACCTGAACAAGGATAGGAGACATTTTATAATCTTTAATAAATCATTTTAAAATAACCATTAAAATGAGTAGGTAAAATGTAACTAAGCTTACCTTTGCCTCCTCCATTTGCATTATATTAGCTTGACAGTCAGAGATACTGTCATTAATGTAATCTATGTTTGCAGTGAGGGATTCCATTTCTTCATTGAGAGACAAAACGGTTTTGTCCGCATCACTCCCCTCCAAGGCAATCTTATCTCTCTTTTTGGAAAACTTCTCCCTTCTTTTGGCAAGCTCTTCACGTTGCTGTAAAGACAAGTACAAGTAATGAAGCTTTAAAAGAGTTCAAAACCAAGGACAATACTCAACTTCCCAGTAAGTATGAATTTTCACTTAATAATAGAGAATGTGTTGAAATATCTATTTTCTACTTTTTTTTCTTCTTAGCATCCATTGATGTGCACAAATTGAAAACTGTCAATGGACATGAGGTCTTACCTTTAAGAGGCGGTTCATATCAGCCTCCATGTTAGCAATTGTCATTCTCTGCATGATAATATCTGAGATACGGCGCTCAAGTGACTGCCATTTCATTCTGGCTGTTTTTGAGGAATAAACACCTACAACTTTCCTTTGGTACTTCCTGCAATTGAGAAAGGGTATCACAGAAATGAAAGCCAACACAACCTCCTGAGAGGCTAGAAAAGTGATTTGTTCTTTAAATAGGATAACAATGAATCCCAAAGATGCAAAAAAAATATCACTGTTGTACCCCCTTTCACCTGAAGAGCTTTGCCTTTCAACCTTAGTATATTTGTCCTTATATAAATATATGAACAAGACAAGCCATTACATTAGAACAGTAACATTCAGCAGTTACAAAGAGATACAAATTACCAAAAAAAGTGTTAATAACAAGACTATTTCACAGCAGAATGCTTGTGAGGCCCGAGCACATAAAAAAATCATAATAGAAAGACAAATACTGTGCAATGAGATTCTAAAAAAAACTGTTCAAAATACACTGAAGAAAAACCTACCCTAAACAACCCACACCAATTACCACCATGAATATACAGTACTTATCTAAATTAGCCCTATGTGAAAATGTCACTGTCAGCCCTTCACCAATTATCTAATTAATCAATTAATACACCACATGTAAATTTATTTATACATAATAGAGGCCTGAATGACCTCTAATGACAGTAGTGACAGGTAGGCTGACACTACTATCCTCAATACTGCTGGCCTGTCACAGTTACTATTTTCCTCTGGCAGTAATACCTGTTCCCATAGGTTGCTGCCACTGAACCTGCACTTTGCATTCTGCTTGAGGGAGCTCGCAGTGAGTGGGCAGAATCCTGGACTGGCTCTGGCAGGCTCAGCTTGCGGTTCACCTTCCCCGACACCGGTCTCACCTGTCGGCGCAAGGCCGTGACCTTTCAACAAAAGGATAGGAACAACAGTTCTATCAGCAGGTAATTCACTGCTGAGTGTCACTTTCATAACCATATTTGAGAAAAATCTGCAAAAGCACATTTATAAATGTAGTGCTTTATGCCCGTGACATTTCTTCTCCTTATTCAGTGTCTTCAGAAAAGCAGAAAAGAGCTGTTGCTTGTGACCGAAAATAAGACTTTAAGGGCTAACTAGGTACAGTGTTTACTACCTTTGCTGTAAGAGGGATATTAATGGAAAAAAATATCTCTAGCCATCTAATCTGCAAAAATGTATCTGTGTTCTTTGTGAATATACAGTACATATCATAACCTTGCTGCTTTCATGAACATTAAAAACTGATATCCCATATTCCTTTCCTAACAGAAGTAGAACTATACAGCTTGAAGGTTTTCACTTTTCTTGCCAGCTTCTCCTTTTATGCATTTATGCATATTGTATTATTATTTGTGTTCATGGGTTCTGTGCAAGAGGATTTTGATGCAACAGTCAATTTTATGTTTTTTCCCTATGCTCTGTATTGCAAATAATGCACTGCCCCATTAAAGTGTGGCAGAACTTCGTCTCTAAAGCACTTTGCTTTTTAACCACTTCTGCATGATTCCCACCTGGGTGTATTCAGTTATTGATTCTGTCTAGAAAAAATCACCTGAACCCACCACTTTTTTTTATTTGATGCTCTTACTAAAAAAACACCACTTGGAATACAATTTCAGAATCCTTAGTTATCGCTTAAAATTAAAAAAATACATAAAAGGCCTTCCTCACCTCCTCTGTTTTCCTGCGAAGTATTAACTCATGTTGTCTCTTCTGCGCCTCCAGAAGCCGTAGCTGATGCTGCAGGACAGAAAGTAGGGCAGGGCATTGTGTTTTAAGACATATTTAAAGTACTAATTAGCACGTTTCGAGTAAAGGACATTCCCTGCAATGTTATGAAATAACCTGAAGCCCTTGCGCCTACCTCCTGTTTGCGCTGGTCTTTCTTCAGTGAGGCGATCTCCCGGTTCCGTCTGGACTCTGCCATCCGGGCTTTCTCTTGTTCTTCCCGCATTTGCTTCATAAGACGCACCTACAGTAACAAGACATTGATGGTCGTACAAACTCAGAGGATTTCAGACATGTGTTCTCTATGCTACCAGCTATATTGGCCTAATGGGCTTACTATCAACCTCTGACAAGTTTCAATACCTGTTCTTCAAATGATTTTGTATAACAAAAAAGTACAGCACCTTTTCATCAGTTGGCTTTGTATGAACTAATGTTTAATTTACTGTGTCTAAGAATAAAAAACAACTGCACTGAAATTGCGATTTATATTTGGAAGTCCCAACAAGCTGGGTGGACACAGCTTGTTGTGAACACCTTAAACCTGGGCGTGTTTTTCGGCAGAATGCAATATAAAAAAGATGAAAAATCACATAAAATATAGCACTGGTACCTTTGTTTTCTTCATCTCTGCCACTTCCTGCTGCAGCTTCTTCAGTTGTTTCTCATACTGAGATTGGTTCTTCAGCAAGCGAGCATGTTCCTTCTGAGCAGACTGCAGCTTGTGCATCTCTTTATTCATGACGCTTAACTTCTTCTCGTATTCCGTTTTAATTTTGTTAGCTTTGTCTTCGGAATACGACTCCATTGAACCTAAGGGAAATGTTTTCAATTACTATTGCTTAAATTACTCTCGCTGCCCCAAATCGCCTGCCAGGAAACTTCTGCTAGGAAAGGTCTGCTACATTGAATGCACTTCACAAATCCTGTAGTCTTACCCATGTTCTGGAGAACCCGGTCTCTCTCCAATTGTGTGTCTCGGATCTTGCTCTGAAGCATCATCAGTTTCTGTTCATACTGCTGTTTGAGGGTGTGAAGCCTACGCTGGCTGTTTTCCAATTCGTCGATCAGCTTCTGCTTGATAGCGATTTCGCATGTAATGTTAGCCAGATCTGCCTGGAAATTAGCTTTTAAAGAAAAACACAGCATGGTTGCTTTAAACGGCACAAGTTAATTTCTCTGGAAATGATTTGACCCCAACAAACACTGGAATAGATTAAAGAGTCCCTGCACAAATAAACAGTGTGTAAGTTCTTAGCATAAGCTTTATACCACAGCTTTGTCTGGATTTTGAATGCCATACAGTGAAGAAGTCAATAATTCAAAAGATAGAGTCAATAAAAAACATATTCAAAATACAGTATAACCATACAATTGGAAGAATCACACTTGTACATATTTAAAGTCATACCTACAGTAAAATTACTTGGGTACTTTTCAATGTTTTTTTAATGAAGATGATCATTCTCAAATTGATAAATCTCATAGACATATTTCCAATTCAATTATTAATTCATATTTAGAAATTAATGTTTTTTAAAAAAACATAAAATTTACTACTTAGTATTAAACTGTATTATATAGAAAAGGCAAAAAGGCACACATTAACACACAGTATTGCATGTTTTCTCTTAAACCCCTTTGCTCTTTGAAGAGCAGAGGATCCACAAATGTATTCCAGCAGGCTCGATGCTGCACTGTTCACTCCATTGCCTGCCATGATGTTTGTTTCTTTGATTTCAGCCTCCACTGCTCTCTTCCAGCTGTTTCTTGGTCTTCCATGTCTCCTCTTCCCCTGGGGGTTCCCAGTGACGGCTTGCCTGGTGGTGTTGGTTATTGGTTTCCTCAATGTATGCCTGATTCAGCCTGTTACATCCCAGTGTGTGGTCTACATGTGTTTTCGTTGTTGTTCCACACTTCTGACTTTGATTGTTGTCCCTACCCCATTGGCCCACCATTATACACTGTTTCCGCTTGGCTGGGCTGGGCTTGGCTTTTGGTTTTGCTTCGGCTTTGTTGGTTTGTTGTTTTGCTTTGTGTGTGTGTGTTTTTGTATAGCTTCGGCTTTGTTGTTTTGTTGGTTTCTGCTCGCCTCTTTGTACTTTCGTTTGTTTGTGTTATCCTTATTTTGCCATTACCTTGCCCAGACTTGTTATTGTATCAACCTCTGTGTTCCTTTGTACCCTGTTACTTGTCTACTCTCGTTTGTATTTGTAGCTCACTTGTGCATTTGTGTGAACTTTTGTGTATAGTTAGTTCAGGCTGTTGGGAAAATTTTGCACACACGTAGTTGATTCTTGTATTAGTCACACTAGTTTAGTACAGCTGAGTGCTGTCTTTTTTGTATGGTTTTGGGTAGTCAGTGGAGGTTAGCTAGGGTATTGAAGACGCCGAAGACCGTGTATTTCGGGTTTTCTTTTGTAGTCAGGTTAGCTTTCCCTCACTTTCCTAGCCAGCTCCATTTTGTTTGTTATTTTCTTTTCTTTGGCACCACTCCAGTTCCCTTACCCTGTGTGTTATTGTGTCTTATTTCATACCAGTCACTTATTCAACTTAAAATCAGCACTTTTGCACCGACCCTTGTTATCACGCTTCCTAGTCCCTCACCAGAACCCACCTGCTTTCAAAAATTATCCAAAATTATCCTAAAAAAAAATCCTTTACCCCTGGACACTAGGGGTTTTAACACAGCCCAATGTTTTACATTAAATCTGTGTTTCAATTTGTTCTTGGTTTGTGCTCTTCCTTAGATCTTTATTACTTATCATGTTGGGCCAGTGTACGTGAGGGATGTTTCTCAGGTGTTTATTTAGCAGGTTTGAAGTTGATTGTATTTTTTGTTGTCCTCTATGTCTTTGCACTGTACAGTTAAATTAACTTTACGATATGCGATAGGTGATATACATTATGTTATTACCTTTCTCATCCAGTTCAGAATCAGAATCATCTGAGCTATCATCCACCTCCATTTCGTCCTCTTCCTCCTCTTCCTCCTCCCCCTCTCCTTCTTCATGATCACTAACATCCTGTCCCTCCTGTTCACAGAAAAGATGCAACTATTAGGGCAAGCAATTTAACAATAATTTCACAACAGAGAGGAGTAAACGATCTTTCAGACATACCATTTCAGCTTCATGGCTAGATCGTTCAGCAACTTCCTTCTCAACTCCCTTGTCTTGCTCATTGTCAGGAGCCTCCTCCTTGATAACACTGTTGAAAAACAAGCACGTCAATTGCATTCACCACTAGGACAACAGCAAACACAACAGCAAAGTTGTAGAGAATATTATTTACTTTCCCTGTGAGAAAATCACCCACTCCAAAGTAAATGGATTAGACGCGTAGTCTACCCACAGGAAAAACAAATGTCTCAAGGAATTTAACACTAGGCAGAAACTAGACTGGCTTTACAACTTAGCATTCTAAATGTTTGAAATTAAAGGATACAGGCAAAGATACATTTATACTTGACCCACAATTTTAACTCATTCTCCATAAATGTGATATTTACAATCAAACACTTTACTGTACAAGCCACAAATATACAGTACAGAAAAAAAAACTGTAAGCAAGACCTTTTTAGCATCTCCAAAAATAAACAAAGATCAGTTAGAATAAGTGCACTAAAGCAATTACTAGAAAGCAAATACAATAGTGCACAGCAAGACAAGATTAAAAAATGCTAATGGATTTAATGAGTAACTGAGATTTCTTTGACAAATCACTGTAAAATAGCCAAATCACAAGATAATTGAAATTGCACTTTAAAAAGGTGTTAGTAAATGATTGTGGCTATTTTGTGAGTAAAAAGAGTGCCATTCAAACTAAAAGTGACTAGATAACCTAAAGAAAGTAGGGGTAGTTACCAAGCCACATTTACAAAACCCACACTTTTAACATCTTAGAAGTTATCATTTTTGAGTACACTAATGTGCAGCTAAATAAGAACGGATCTCAAGAATACTCAAACATACTTTTAGATATGTATTTTTTACATTTCTTTGGTGATTGCTTACAAGACTTTTTATTGACTTTTGTTTATTTTTATCTGGATTAGATCCACTACACTGTAAAATCAGTGAAGACCAAACTAAACATTTAAAGCAACAGACAAATCACATTTTTGTTGTCTTATCTTTGTCTGTTATTCCATCATCAAGACATAAGTCAAAACACCAATTTAAACACACCTTGCAAAAAAACTTCAACTGATTTGCAAATCCTTCCAGAAGATATTAGAAGGCAATAACATTTGATGTCTTTGCATTTTTTACAACATACTGTATGTGTTACTTGGCCCAGTCAAACTTCCGCCTGGTTATTTGACAAAACAAGACAAATGAGAGAAATGTTCAAAAGGTAAAAAAGCTGCTTAGTTGGGTTTTCCTCCATGTGTGGCAACTACCTGTCAAAATGAAGCCCAAATTAGAAAATCTGGGAGAGAATTAGCCAACCTTTCTTCCTCTCGTCTGCTTTCCTCAAGCTGCTGAAGCCTTCAGAGAGAAGTGCAGTAAAGGAAGGCACGTGAGGCAAAACCCAGAGAGCACAAAAAGCAGCAAGAATGTAAAAAACAAGTGTCAGCGTTGGTCTAAAGGTAACAACAATCACCCTGCCATGCTAAACAGATTCATACACTACCTATTTAGTGCAGCCTTCAGACAGAAAGCAAATACATGCACTGCACTCTCAAATGCTGTTCAATATTTCCTATGTGTTCACAGTGCTGCAACTTAAAATTATTAAAAAAGCATATCCAGAATCTAGAATATCAATTATATCTTTAGGTAGCACATATGAACATGCTGAAAAGTGTAAAGACACATAAAACAGCGTTCACAGTGACAGACAAACTATTTTACGGTTCACCTCAGAGAAAGCATTCGCTTTTTAAAACTTAATTTTTGTTTTTCAAACTTACAAATGACACCAGAACACTTCTTTATCAGAAAACACTTTTGAATAATTGTTACAATGAAATACAAGGCTCTTGGGCAACATGTGATAAAAGCTTCCATTCAGACTGCAGGTAGTGTTCTATAGCTCGACAGTCACACGTTCCAGCTGTCTCTAACTGACTGCAGTCATGAGCTCCCAGGAAACAAATCACAAAATATTACATCTGAATGAAGCCTGCTGGGGTATTTTCATTTCAATTTGTGAGCCGTGGGTGTCCTCCTGAAAACTCTGCTATGTCCTGGAGTCGTAATTGAAAAACAAGAGGGATGGATTGATGATTCCCCATAACGTGGGGAATCTGTGTGTGTTGTCTATATCTCTCCGAAGATGCTGCTAGGACTATACAGATAATGTGGGTTTAAAAACAGCTTAAGGTGGGCTTGAAGGAACCCTTTGTATTTTCACATATAAGGATACATACATGCAAACATCTTTTAGGATAGTAAACCAATTAAAGGAGATGGTGCCATATACCTGTAGAAAGAGCTCATGCCCCTTTGCGTACCACTCATTGCTTTCTTTAGGATAACTGGCAAAATGTGTGAAAACATGGATAATAAGAAAAGTATGTTTGCGAGTCTGCACATTCAATGGTTGTGTCAAAACAAGCAACAGGTCTGTAGCTTTTAAGAAGGCAGAATGTGTGCATCAGTAATATTACCAATCGGGAACATGGCAACAAAACGTAACCACGTAATAGTCCGGGTCCTCACACCCTCCATTGCTATACTCCAAGCTGACAGAAACTAACTTGGAAAGCATAGCATTCATTAATGAAACTAACTACTTCAATTGAACAGATAATAACACAACTTGTATAAAAGTTTGATTCAATCTGTTAAAAGAAATGGCACACTTTTGTAACATTTTTGTGTTCTGAAGCCACTTTCTCTGTGAATTTGTGCCATGATATTTGCATGCTTATTTTCAAGTTAATGGTAACCACATAAGGTACAGATCACTCAGGGAGGGGTATCCTCATCTAATCCTAGCTACATATGACATAAATTGTAATGTCAGAAACTTGTTTGTAATTTTTTTCTGGCACATTTATATATGTAACTGTAACACTGTAGGATTTTACTTCTACCATATTCCCCAGAAGTCAAAGGAGATGATCTAATATATTCTATTAACTGATCAGAGCAGCCATAGTGATTGGTTGGGTGACTGTATAAACCAGGAAGAAAAAGCTTACTTAGAGCTCCACATCTGCTACAGTATCTAAACAAGACCTTCCACTGCATGAGAGAAAAAAAAGAGTGAGCTAGAGGTGTTAGAGCAAGAACTGGAATCTAGCAGCCTGTAACTAAATGAGAAGGTGGACAAGATGGCTGAATAGTTGGGTTTGTGACTGAGCATGGTTTTTTTTGTTCTGAGGCTGGTAAGCAACTTAATTATCTGAAATTGAGACTTGAAAAAGTCTAGTTAGAGCACAGTGAGCAAGGCTTTTGCTTGTTTTAGTTTTCCTTAGTCCTTGATCTGCACTGTAAAATAAAGTGAACAATATTTGGTACATTACTGCTGCCATTGTGCAATTGTTCCCAAGTCCCTGCCTACTTTAAGAGCCCTGACACTGTACCTCTTCAGGCAGCATCTCAATACACACACACATACATTATATACTATGTACTGTATATACAGTATACTGTACACAAGCATCTTATATATACATTTAGCAAAATAGAATGCAATAACAAACTCAAGTGAACTAATCCACAAAATCAGAATAATAGTTTCCAAACTGAAAGTGATCACAACACGGAGCAACAAGTTCTTTTCACAGGACATCAGGAATGGGGAGGCCCACAGAAATTCTGGCTTTACATGCATCAGCACGCTTTGATGGAACCTCTGAATACAGACACATCTTCCTTCGACTCCAGTCTTAGTGGGAGGGTCGCAATAGTTATTTTGATCACCATCTCTAAAATGTTTGAATCACTCAATAGGTTTGCTTTTCCACCTTCTACTTAACTATATAACACATTTATACAATTACTGTATATGAGACCTACTACCCATGTCCTGGACCCTATTCCTGAGCCTCTACTCAAAGATTGCTTCCCAGCTCTTTGTCCTTTTCTTATTAACCTCATTAACGAGTCCCTGGAATCTGGTCTTGTGCCTTTTTTGGCTTAAGGTCACTTTCTCCAGAACCTTCTTGAGCTAAACTGTTACAACATCGAGGTTATGCTTATAGGGTCCCAACATTAGCACCACAAGTGGCTGACTTCAGTTGTTGACAGGGCTGAAATTAAACCTTCAACAGAATTTATAAACAGAATTTTTGATCATCTGAAGCTCAGACGTCTTCTGCATGAATAGCACTGCTTAATAAAGACCCCTGTTGTCCCTGTTTTACTGGTACAGGACTTGGCTTTAGCTAATCAAAATTAGACTTCTGTAATTTTTACTTAACTGGAGCATCTTCTAGGGTACTAAGTACTGTATGTGGCAGTATGTCCAGAATTTATCAGTCCTTGCGCTAAGCAGACAATTGTTGAAACAGCTGAGAACGTTGTCTGCTGTAAACTGCACTGGCTCCCCGTGAAATTTAAACAGAACTTTAAGGATCTCCTACTAGCGTGCAAGGCACTGAATAGTCTAGCTCCAGATAATTTTAAGATTTACTGCATGAGTATGGTTCATAGTTTAATGTGACATCTGGAGATTCTGGACTTCAGAGTAATACCAGACTCCACATAACCGGGTTTGATGTGGGCTAGTGATTCGCAGGTTGGCTTTTTTTTTTACCTGCACCCGCCCAACCCAACCTAAAATCTTTTTTTAACCCAAACCCACCCCTCACAGGTGTGAGGCAATCCACGCATCACTAATGTGGGCAATGAGTTGTGTGGAATGGTTTTGCTCATGATAACACTATATTACAGACAACCTCTGCAAATGTCAACATTTTCTAAACTCACTTAAGGACCTTAAAGACTTTTCTTTTTTCAAGTCAATTTGCTATACATGTTTCTTTAACTCTTTTCGCCTTTGTTGTGTATTGTGTGTATGTTTCTTGAAAAGAGCTCGTCAAAATGTAATTGTTCTCATCATCTGGGAAAACTGCACTTTACCTCAGGACCACAGTTCACCCTTCTATTGCTCTACTCCACATTATATCTGAAATGAACGACTTAGTTAATGGCCAAAGGGCTCTCAGATTTGTGGCTATAGTTGACTAGGACAGGAAAAACCTTGTAGCCACTTTGCAGCTTACATCACAGTCATTCTGGTGGTGGATGGTGCACTCCTGATGTCCACCATAGTGCAAATCTGTGACATTTAAAATTTACTGGAATCCGGACTGCTATATTCAGTGATCCATGTTGTGTGGCTGTACATGGAGCACTGCAATAAATCACTTTCCATCTCTGCTTACGTGTCACTTGGACAACTTAACAAAAGTGACTAAATGCATGTCACTTACCCATTCTTTTATAAACACTCATTCACTTCTCGCATATGTATTGTGATAGTATAGAAAATTCAGACAAGATGAAAGCCTTTGTCTGTATCACATTCCACATAAAGCTGTGGGCAATAAGCTGCTGCCCCCAGTCTCCTGACCAGTTACTGCAAGACGATTCATTAGGTGACAGTTTAAAAACCAGGAAGCGGAAGGTTTCTGGGTCAGTGAGTTTTGAGATTTTGTAAAAGGGAGAACTGACACTAAAAACACAACCTGGAGACATGGGAATTTGACTTTCTTTTGTGGAATGCACCTACCTTTTTAACACAGAAACAAAACAAGGAATGTTGCATGAGACCTTTTGTTTGGCATTTACAAAGCAAAACGTTCACAAGTTTTTTTCTTTGTTATTGAAATTTTAAAGTTAAAAAATTTAAATTTCACAGGAGGATTACCGCTTCCAAGACGATTTAGAGACTAAAAGCAGAAATACAGCTGCTAACGGTTGCTTAAAAATCACAATTTAAAATTCTTAATGTGAAAGCCTAAATCCATCAAACACTACATAGTAAATGCAGATTTTAAGTCTCAGATTTAGAAATAAAATGATCAAAATCTAAAATGATACCGCATAACAGCAAATCCCTCATATATTACACAATAGATGTAAACTGTTATTTTATGCATTGCGTAACTTCCAATCCTTGCATGTATAAACTTTCAAAAGCATTTTACATGCTGAGACTAGGTAACAAGCAGTTATATGTGTTTCACAGACATGTAATAAAGAGCTAGCAAAAGCAGATACATTATGAGACAAAAAAATTGGGTTTAGTTTAGTACTAAGAGTTAGCACTTTTCCCAATACCTTTTTTAAAAGGCAATACAAAGCACTAAAAATGTAATTATTGCATATGCTTGCCAGGTATGTGTATTTCAAACATCCTGACTGTCCTACTAACAAAAAAAACTTCACTTTCATATTTCTGCATTGTGTAATGTTGATCAATCTAAACATGTTCACACTCACCTTTTCTTTTTCTTTCTCTCTTTTTTCTTGAGTTTTTCCAAGTCTTTCTTGGCCAATTCGATGATGTCTGTGGTCTCGTTTTCGGGTCCCATCAATGACGTGGTATATGACGAGGGCCCTCCATAGAAGGAGGTCCGTGTTGAAGCTCTGGAAAGATTTTTTCTAAGGTTCTCACTCACTGCTTCACTCTCCAAAAGCTTAGCCCTAAATTAAAAGAAATGCACTTTACCACACTGTGAGGCCATTCCCATAAACCTAACAGTTTTACAAAACATGTACAAAAGGGAATATTAATAATTATACTGATAATCTACTTAATAATCAACAACTTCAAACCAATAATAAATAACAAACCCAATACTCAATGCATCACCTTTGGAATCTGTAGTTGGAATCCGGATTTGACTTAATTTAGCCTTTAGCCTTAATGTGTTATTTTTAACAAATCACATTGCTTATTTCATTTCAGATTATTAAAAAAAACACTTTTCAAAGTTGTTTTAAAACCCCTTGAAGAACCTAAAACATGAATATAAAAGAATCAGATTTTTTTTATATACCGGAGGTCTTCAATTTCTTTGATGTAATTTTGTATCATGTTCCCAATCTCTTCATTTCCTTCACCTGGAAAACAGAAATGCAATTTGGTGAAAAATACCATTAGATACAAACAGAAATATAACATGGAAAAAGTCCATGATGACAGTTCCATGACGTTCAGAATGGTTTCATTATTGTACACTCTATTAACAAGGAAGAACAAATCTAGATTTTAAGGTTCATTTTATTGTATAAATACAACAGAGCAGAGTCACAGATTTATAGACATTAACTTAATCACTATTAGCATAACAAGATTTTGCATTTTAACAAATAAGAAAATATCAAATTCAGTTAGATGACGCACTGTATTGTAAATGATCAAATAGCTTCAGAAGTCTATTTTAATATTTACGTGCTAGCAAACACAAAAATAACTTAAACTGACATATTTGTTATTATTTCGAGAAAGAAACAAACAAGCGTCACTTGTGTCCATGTGTTTTTAGTACTACTGGATTTCACTGGGCATACAGAAAGGACGCACCTGCTCTGGCCAGCACCTGGTTAGCCTGGTCACTGAGTATCTGGGTTAATCTGGTTCGCTGAGCATCGATGGTCTCCTGCATTGCCTTAATCCGTACCCTTAGGTTGTTGTTCTCAGTTTGTAGCATAGAGTTCTCATGAAACATGTCATTAATACTCTCCATTCCATCTTCTCCTATTATTCTTTTCCCCTAGAAATCAACATACATGATATGAAATAAATTTACAAGATTGCAGAGTGGAAACTCTGCAAAAAACTTGATTACCCTTGCACTGAATGCCTTCAAGCACCTGCACAAGTAATTTAATCCAGATACACCGTTTAATTAACTAAACTTGATTTCTGATTTGAATATACAGTTTTCCTTTCTTGCTTACAATCTTATTTTTATTTCTTGCACAAACATACACTTTTTTACAATGATAATGCATCTATTTCTTGTGAATGGATACTTTACATTTTGCCAAACTCTCATTGTCTGCACATCTGCATTTTTTTAGAGCAATTAGTTTTGACAGTGATTTTTGACATGGTCTCCTAGACATATATAGTCTTAATTGTGCCGGAATGTTTGCATTCCTTGTCTAACCTAGCTTGATTTTTATCTACTATGATAATGACATTTTTACAGTATATTCCCAACTGTAAAGTATATAAATATACTTCTGCCCCTTCAATCGCTGAAGTGACATTTGGATAATCATTTGATAACTCAATTTTAGTTCTATCTATCCACTATATACCAAAGTGTGGAGGCAAACATCAATTTACATCGATTTCCCTACGGGATTAATAAAGTATTATCTATCTATCTAAACCAATTGTGTAAATGGATTGACCTAAGCATGAAACCAAGTAATAAAAATAAAAAAATACAAAATATATTGTTTAATCACCCATTTAAATATACCATAAACTAACTAATGTGATTTTTCCCATTTTTCCTCTGTATGATCTCTGATTTGTATAGTGTATGGCATGGGAGTCAATATATTATGTCTTTCACTCTGCATGTCTAGGGATATTCCATGAACACATGTCTGGCTTTATTAGCCATTGTATATGGCTAATAAAGTGATCTTGTCTTATCTGTGCAAGAGAACAGTTATTTACTGAGGAAAAACTGTCATTTGTTTATTAAGTAACATTCTCTCTTACAGTCTTGTACTCCACGAGTTCCATCTGTAGCCGCGCAATCTCCGTCCGAAGAGCACTGATTTGCTGGCTCGCCTTATCCTGGTTCACCATCACTCGGTTCTTGATGTTTCTGGCCCGGTTTGCATATTTCAGAGTGTTCAGAGTCTCCATAAAATCCCGGTCAGAGGGGCTGATGCATGCTATCATCACAGTTTGGCTGCGCATTAAAATAAAAAGTTTTTTTTTCCATAATAATATAGAATAAAACCATACAAGATATTTTTAACATTTTTGAAAACACCAAAGAAATGACATTTAAACACAACAATGAAAACTGTGGTCTATTCTACAAAATGGCAACATTACATGAAAACTACAGCGGAATACAGACCTATTTCCTCCAAGCGAGTCTTGCAATAGACGAGTTAATTTGGAATCTCTGTAAGGCACATGAGTTGCCTTCTTGCTTTTGTCTCCAAGAGCACTAATGACATTCCCAAGTGCCAGCTTAAACAAAGTGAAACACATTAATAAGCAAGATCAGTGACAAAATCTTCACACACCCCCACCCCATCCAAAGCCTGAGATTCATTCTCATTCAAAATATGTTACAAATGTATAAATGCTTAAAACAAACAAAAAGATGGAAATACATTGAAAATTAACAAATTGTAACTGTTATTAATGTCTATTACTTTATTTATTTACACAGCACACAGGTTGTGTTTGGTGCATTGTATGATACAGTATAAATAAATGTAAACAATTAATGGTGCTGGAATGCACTGAACTGTATTTGTTATTTTAAGTAATATTTGAATGGAAACAAAATATAAAAAACAGTAAACAAAGAAAAGCTAGAAAATTACCAGATAACCACTAGATGGTGCTCACAGTACTGATTAAAATAAGATTCTTCAGGAAATAAATGGTGGAATCTGAAAATCATTTCTAAAATCTACATTTATTTTAAACTTTTAATTTGGAAAACAATACAGCATTTAGAGCTATACACTAAAAGCTGTGGATTCAATTTCGAAGGACATACACTAAAATGTATGGAAAGAAAAAAATATTAAAATGCATAGAAAATGTAACGAAAGAAGATAAAGCTCCCATTCATTAGAAAAAGAACTATAATACTATTACAAAAATAAATCCAGAGATTTTCCATCTATTCCATTTCAATGTATTTTAAAAAAAATAAAAAAAATATCTGTATTATCTGACAGGATTTTGTCTCATAAAAACTGAAATGATCAGATCCATTTTCAGGGAGGTTCACTACATCGGCAAATTGAATAGCTGAATTCTTTGGATTAAAATGTAATTACAGAAATCAAGTTCAACCTGTCCTGAAATGTCTGTTGCTCAGGTCAGACTCTAAAGCTCTGCGTAGCCACTTGTAAAGAACAGTGTTTTGCTTGAGGGATGACAGAACAATAGATGAAAAGGAAACAAATGTTATTGGCAGAGGAGCTGGGCTGGTCCTCAGTCTTACCAGACCACAGTTGATTGATATCCCTTCCTTGGCTCTCTCCCCTGTCGCTCCAGTTCTCTTTAATCTCTCTGAACCCGCAAGGTCAACAAAATGGAATTTGGCAGTGAGAGTTTCAAACTCGTCTATTTGGGAAGATCCATTTATTATCCTGTTATCTGTCTCATTATCCTGCTTCACAAAAAAAAGAAGAAAAATATTAAATGAAATCATTAAAAAAAAACAATTTTAATTAAGTCACATACTAAATGGACCTGACCATGATGTTTTATTTCCTAAAGCATATAAAGTATATGAAAACATTCTGTATGATTTCTTAAAGGATATAAAGGAACTTGATTGATTGGTTTACTTGCATTTCAATGATCAAACAGCTGATGGAAGAAAAAGATTACCAAGCCTGTACCCCTTTACTAAACCCAAAATCAGATCTCAGGAACCTGTTACCTTATTGCTATTACTGTGTGTAAAATACTTCAGTCTGGAAAATGGCGAGTCAATCACTGAGAATTAGGAAAGCTAATTACTACAACAATTAGTAAAAAAAAAAGTAAAAAAGCATTCATGTGAAGGGTTGAAACACCACCTTTCCATCCTGGTAAAATGCAACAGATAATGATAGCAAAGATCTTAAAAATCCTGCCACAAAATACCACTGACCAAATACAACTAGTGGATAAAAGTATTCACCCAGAAAACGTACATTGTTAGTGCTTGCACAAACTCGCACTTGACACAAGTGGATGGTAAAGATGGCGTGAGAGCGAGAACTCTGAACGTTCATCTGAGTGCTGGCTGTTGTCCGGGACAGGGCTCCAAGCTTTAAACACTGCATCATCTGAAAGAGCAGAACACCATTTCTTTTCAGTGATTATTCAGTGATACAAATAAATGAATTAATTAACTTTTCTTCCTGTTACAGTGCCATGGGCATTTTGAGATTTCCTCAAATGAATGATTTCCAGAAAAAAAACACAAAGCTTTTTGATAAAAAATTCACTAAGAAATTAACATGTTAAATATTTCCAGTACAGTGAAAACTTCCAGTATTCAGTGACTAGATCTGTAGATTGTCATAATCTCCCTGAAGAGATAAGTATTGATGAAACTAGGGTCTTACCTCTGTCTCAGAACCCACAGTCCGTGTAGTTACACCCACTGTATAGATACCACCACTTGCATCTTCATGGATTTTAATATGGGACTTCTGTTTCTTTGCTTCAATGTCACGTGTCGAATCAAAAAGATCCAACACTTCTTCATTATAAAGCTGGATAAATAATTACAATTTTAGTTTTGAACTGGACGTATTTTGTCTGCAATAGAAAGACTAAATGAATAAATACCATACCCAAAGGAATTTCCTCACATCTAAAATGTATTTACTTCAGATTCTAAAAAAAGGCAGTGATACACTCTATATCTTACATAGAACTTCTTTCACACTCAAAATATCCTGGAATACTGTATGCTCATAGGTCTATATCAGTGACAGGAAGGTTAAGACTAGAAAGGTGGTGAATAACACATACTGTACTACATGTAAGAAGAGAATTAACCACATTACATTTATACATACTGTATATTATTATATATTTTAGGATGAATTCTTTTAGGAATTTTAGCAAGATTCATATAAACACCATGACATTTGTCTCAATGCTTTCAGTGCAACAAAGAACGTAAATAAAACAGATGTATTTAATGAAAAATTGCGTAATAAATCTGATTGTCTCTTTTCTAACCAGAGCAGTTTTGCATGGCAAAATGCAGAACATGCATACTGTAGGATTTTCAGCCAGCAAGCTTACCATTAGTAGTAACAAAAGGATGGGAAAATGGACATAGACCAGAGCATCATAAGACTGATACCCTTTTTACAGAATATCATGCATGACCCTGCATGTAGCGTATATATTTGTATTGTAAAACTTTGTTCTATGAAAACAGATTGCAGGCTTTATTCCCACCAACAGAAAACAGCCTATAAATCTCAGCATGATTCTAGATTTAAGTAGGGAAGCTTTGGAGAGCAGAGGCCTTGACAGTTCCCCTTAGACAAAGAATACAAATATCTTCTGTTGCACACCAATCTGAGTTTAGCAAAGAATAAGCAAAGTTAGAAAGATGGAAAAATAAGCCTCCTTCTTGCTTTAATGAGATGTTCACATTCATATCTGGACAAAAGTACTGTTAGTAAAGTACATTAAAAATAAAGCTATTATATTTTGCACAGGTTTACAGAATGGTAAAATTATGAATGTTAAATATCCATAGTGTTAATTGTTACTGCATACATGAAAAATGCATAGTACAGTACATACAAGCATGGCAGTCCTTTCTGTGCTTTTAAAGCAACCACACATTTCAATGGCCCAATACATTCGCAATTTGGACGAAGCTCACAAAGAACTCTATACTGTACAAACCAACAGCTGCCAGAAACACATGTCAGAGGTTAATTTTAAAAAGGAGGACGTTTTGCAGGCAATAAATCTCTCGACATGCCAAAGTGATTCTATAAATAGGTGCAACTTATATCGTTCTAAAATAGCTCTCCTTCAAGATTTATAAGGTACTTTTCGCTATACCTCAAGGAACTGGGCATTGACTTTGAATTCCGGGGGTGGTAATCCCTGCTCTGTCGCAGCTTGTTTTCGCTCCTCGATTCCTTTGAAGAGGTGATGGACAGCACGAGGTATAATTCCCAATTCGTTCTCCCCAATGCTCACGTCAAATCCTGTCCCCATGGAGTAAGTCTTGCCCGAACCAGTCTAGAAGAAGAAAAGCTAATTATATTTTGCTTAGATACCTCCTTTTGTTCAATGTGCCTGAAATAATGTTCAGTGATGGCATTCCACTGTAAACACTAATACATCAAGGATTTCTTTCACTTACTCGTTTTCATTAGCATGAATCCAGTGAAGTTCTGTATTTTTGGACAACTTTATTTCCTGCTCAATGAGAATGTACAGTATATGCTTATGTATGTGTGCAAACAGACGTATATAAGAAAAATAACGACAGGAAATGTGTGCTCCAACTCAAACAATGTAGGCAGCAGAAATGCTAAGTATTAAGCAAAAAATGATAAAAATAAGAAATAGAATTCTTCAACTGCTTTTGAATTTTTAAAAAGTCAGTTAAAAAAATATATATGACTCTCGCTGACCTTGGTAAACTTTTAAAGTAATAACACAGTTATGGAAAATGAGTTTTAGATATGGTATGTAATGGAAATCTAAAGTTGGCACAAATGCATGTGATGGGTTCATATTACGTGAGTAAATTCACCAAAGAAACCTGGCTCATAGGAGGACAACAGACCACCAATGTGGGGCTCTTAAGATTAGGTGGATGAGAGGTTGATAAAAGGAGAAATGAGCTGCTGTTAATACAAATAAAATCCCTAGCAGAAGTCTAAAATAGTGGGAGTGACGAAAAACTCTATACAGTATGTACAGCATATAGCACCCCACAAAATTATGAGAACAAATCAAATGGCGTTGTCTTTGAAATCTAAAAGCAACAGCCCTCTTTGTTTTGTGTCAACGTCACACTATTGGTTGAGTTTCATTTCAAGAAAGTATAGGATATTAAATAAAAATGCCCAGAGTGTCAATGGGAGGTCCCCTTGTACAGCAATACAAGTGTGTGTACATTTGTGCTCAGCTGAGAGACCTAAAGACTGTGTTAATGGTTAATGTGTAGACACACCATCTAAAATCACGCTGGGCACTGTAAAGTAAGGCATGAAATAAATCTAAATATATGTTAAAACTAGATATCCCATAATCAAATTCAACATAGAAAGAGATTACAGAATTTTGAAACCACTATGAACTTAAAAGTTACTCCTTTATTATATGTTATCATCTGTATTTTGAAAATGATAGCTTGAAGCAATAGCTTGAAACAAACTGAAAAAAATGAAGCTTATGCCTTGTAACATACCTGTCCATAAGCGAATATAGTGGCATTATACCCTTCAAAGCAGCCTTCGATAAGCTTCTCTGTGCAGTTGGAATAGATGGCGTCCTGCTGCGTTTCCATGTCAAACACATAATCAAATGTGAAGGCCTTATCCTTTCCCAGAATAACTTGGGGCTCACCAGGAGTCACAAAGGTACAAATATGGCATCCCTCGATCTTCTCCCTGGCTAGCTGAGGACGGATCCTAATAAAAGAATAATTAAAATCATTAAAAGTTAAAATTGAAAGATGCCTTATTCAGACCTGAGAATATGAAATATAAAAAATGTATACTATCATAATCTGTACTTTAACTATAAAAGGCCAAAGAAAACTTTAACATCACAATCGAGTGGAGTCCTAACAATACCTATCAATCTATCTCTATCTCTCCTATCAATGATATATTTAAACAAATGCCTTAATAAATCTACATGGCACATAATGATAACTTTACAATTAAAAAAGATACATGTACTGCAAAGTGTACCTCAAGGGACCAAGAAAATACAGTATTACTGCTATTAGGTCTAATAATAAATCTCTACTAACCTGTTCATCTGCAAGTGCCAATGGCCTAGCCTATTTGTCATTTATTTACACAGCACTAGACATAATACCCCTGAAACATTATTATTGTTAATTTTTACAATATTTGATACCCTAAAGATGAGAATTGCAATGTTATGATGTATGCAGAATTACTGTAACTACTGTTTCCTTCTAAATAACATAAAAAAATGTATGAAAAAGCCGCATTCTCAAGAATGTTTAGTTAAAAAAAACAGAAACACTACATGTTCATATTCACCAGATGTTTAGTTAATGGCTTTCCCTTATTAAAATAAACACAAAGATTATTTTTCAGTTCTATTTCTAATTCAATATAAAAGATGCTCTGTCCTGCTGTACTGTCATTCAATTTGAAAAAAAGTTAATGAATTCAACGTTGTACATAGAATAACCTGATAAAGACCATACTGTAGCTTTTCATAAAGGACAGCATTGTAAATTCAAACAAAAATAATGTTTTGCAAGGACTACAGTGCTTGCATTGTGTCCCTGTGACATCAGATCCTTAGAACACTCAGGCAAAGAAACGCTTGGTGAGGTGAGTCTCTTATACAATAACACACTTTTGAGTTCTTTGTTTATAAGGTGCTTTGAAATGATAAAGTCTAAGAGCTCCAAGCACATAAAATTCACTTTTAACATATATAATTTTAATAATAAACTAATGTTTGCTCTACAGAACACTGCTGTGTGTCACAAACTTTAACAACTGACAAGTTTCTGTTGGTAAAATGGAGTAGGAGTGAAATAAAAAAAAAAGTCTACCACCCTCTACCACTGGTGAAGTACATCTGCAAGGAGTCCTCACCATCAGCTGTATTTGTCCTAAGATGCACTAAGTCATAAAATATTGGGTCTGCCCAAATTTCAAAAAGCCAACCACAATAAATTATTTTCAGCTCCTCAAACACTTTAACTGAGAAGCATTCTCTTCGCTTGTTGCCAGGGCAATTCTCCACTCGGCTTCTGTCACTCAGACTCAAAATACATCCAACTGCGGATGAAGAATTTCCACGCTTCTTGTGCAACACACTACTTGCCATTTCTACACGTTCTTCCTGAGTAAGGGTGGAAACACCTGCAAATATATAAAGTAGCTTCTGTTTGGAAGGCCAGGTTTGTCTACCAGTAAAATCAGATTTTTAGAAGAGGAAATTAAAAAGGCTAACTTTAGCACAAGCAGAATGAAGCATTCGCAGTGAGTTATAAAACAGAATGCCAGTTACAGCATGTAGTGTGGTACTGTAAATACTGTATGTGTGAAAGCTTCTTAAGCTATCAATTAATTTATTAAATTAACTGTATTCATTCTGTAACATCCATCTATTTCCTTCAATCCAATTCAGGGCTGTGGAAGAACCAGAGCCTATCTCGGCAAGGAGTGGGAGCAAGGCAAGGGGACAACAGTCCATCACAGGGCAGACAGGCACACCAGAGGAACAGTAGCCAGAGGAAACCCACATGAACTTGGGTATAACATACAGCTCCACACAGATAGCACCCCAGGGCTGGAATTGAACCCAGGCCCCCCGGCACTGCACTGCAGTAATGCTAACCACTGTGTTGCAAAATGCTTATATATTCTGTACTTTGATACTTGGATGTCCCTTTCAATAAAGGCATCTGTGATATGAACTTCACCTTTTGGTCAAAAAATTCCAAGTGTGCATTCAGTATTTGTTGCATAAATAAATGAAAAATTAAGTGTCACGGATGAAAAAGAAAACATCTGTGCAAAATAACTGCATAGTTTTCAAATTACACGTCCACATTTATTGACATCCTTGAAAATATATTGAATACATACTGTACATCTAGTCCTCTAACATTTTTAAATGGCAGCTGTTAGCTTTTTTTGATGATCCCAGTATTTCTTTGTTGACTTCAAGACTGCCTTCTTTGTAACTTTCCCACTGGGTCTCCATGTCAGCTTGTGAACTTGCCAGTGCTTGGAATCTGTTGGGCATTTCCAGTGTGAAAAGATTATATACTTGATCATATTTGAAAGCTAAAGCTTTCAAACTGGTCTTTCTTAGTTTTATGTGCAACTTGGTTTTCATTTTATTTCTTAATTTCTGAGTGTTCCTTCCAGAGATACAAGTGGGTATCAAGAAGTGAGCATATTCCATGTTCATCTGTGGAAATGTGGTCTATCTGATTCTCTATTTACCACTGGATGTCTAGGTGACATCCAAGTTGTTCAGCTGACAGAAATGCACGAGTTTCTCATTATTGCTGTTGTGTTCTCCAAGAATATTTGTACCTATGACGCAGTCACATTCTTTATATGTTTAAGTGGGGAGCTGCATCACAAATCACTTTGCACTGGGTGCAAAGGAACACGTCAAGGTTAATTCCACTCTTTTAAACAGAAAAGAAACAATGTTTTGGCTGTTGAGCATTTTTGGGTGTGATGGGAAATTGCTTCTTCTTTCAATTTTTCTACAAAGGTGCCTGATCAGGATTCTAATGTCAAGTTGTGGGATTCTGTAGACGGAGTCTTGTAGGGTGTTGTAGAACAAAACCTTTTTTAAGTGATGTTGAGAGGAAGAAAGAAAAGCACAGAAAGCTGAGATCTAATTGGTGACAGGAACAACAGGAGGAACATCCAAGGGTAATTAGCATTGAGAGAGGATGTAAACAAATTCCAATGCTCGATGTCACACACAGAAAGAAGGACAAGTAAGTTAAGTGCAGGGCACCAAGAGACAGAAGATACTGGGGTCAACAAAAGTGCTACAAAAGCTGAGAAATAAATGCCTATATTTCTAATTTAATTTTTTGACTATCTTCAAAATATCAGTCAGGTAATCAGGAACATTCTACCAGTGTGCTTAAGAAGCATTGTTATGGCAACGGAAGACACCAAGAAATCTGGAGGGAAAAAACAGATGAAAGGAGCATTTTAAAGAAATGCTAAACTCGCCTCAACATCATTCACTACTTAACAAATCAGACTTTCTTCAGACAAGTGCACCTAAGAGTTACAGCCATTAATATTCAGTCAGAACTGGTGAAATCAGCATCAACAACATATGCGCAGACCTGCTGAAGGATAGACGTCAGATGACTGAGAGGAAGTGTCCATTTTATCAGTCCCAGAAAAGGTTTACAGCAGGTTGATCCTATCAAAAACCCAAACAAATTATGTTCTGAGAAAAGGATGATGCACTGATGCAATCTTTAGTCTCAGAAGGATTCTGAAAAAGATGTTCGAGCATGAAGTGCCAAGTGTAATCAGTTTTATGAATTTTACATCTTAAGATAGAGACTGCACGTGAATAATCATGAAAATCTATAGCATACCATACAAGTTCCTCAGGGTGATCACGGGCCTGTATGAGGAAAGAGTTTTCGCAGTGGCCAGTAATATGATTCTTCAAGGACAATCGGCAGAATACCATCAAGCTAGTGCTTCTAGTACCTGTAAAATCTTCTTGCCGGTAGTGGTCTACATAATATTATAATTATATCATTCAAATTAAGACTTGTAAAAATATATTGCTTTACCTAGAGTTCTAGACACATACCTTGATATTTACAGCTTGTAGAGGGGTATGATAAATTGATGAAAATCCTGAAATAATCTATTCGAATAACTCATTAACTAATCAAATTTGTCTCCTTTATCTTGAAGAGGTAATAGAGGTGTGCTATTACCTAAAACTTCACAAAACACTAAATACATGGACATTAGAACCTTGTCATTTGTGTTTTTGCAACATAAGAATGCTTAAAAACAAGAATAGGCCATTGGGCCCATCTAGCCCATTTGATCGTTAGAAATTAATCGGTAAAAAAACACTTATCAAGACGTTTCTTCAAAGCTTTAAAGAAACCAGGTTATCAACTTCAACATGGCTGGGAAGCATGATCCAGTCTCCTATAGCCCTTTGGGAATGCTGAATGGAAGGTGAAAGGGCTGGAATTTGGATATCTGATCTGTGATTAACTGTAACAAGGACCTACTGTATGCTAGTCTGCACTTTAAAAGAGATCTGTATAGTTATACATTATTGTGTACGCTGAAATTACTCTTGTATCTTGAATACAACAGTCTTAATAAAAAAACAAATGTTTGCTTATAAAACTTTCTTGATGTATTTTAAACCTTCAGTGTTCAACAAACTGCTTTTATTATAATCTTTGTAATTTTTTCAATATTCTATAATTCTTTAGAAAGTATACAAATGTATTTCTTAAACTTTTAGTATTCATGTTCTGTTACATTTTCCTCAGTTTTGTTTTATGTAATTAGTAACTCTTTAGTTACTTTATTCAACATCCACGTTTTACCAAAATTAAAAATTGTAAAAGACATTTATAAGTTTCAACAATCAGCTTGAGGGTTTAGGTAGACCAGGTATATGAAGACCAGGTATATATTTTTTTTAATTTGGCCACAAAATTTGGCTTCCAGACCAGTAATAACACATTCTCAAGGGACCAATAAAGTTCTCAAAACAGAAACTAGTATACAAACATTAACTGAATTTGAATGGCATAAAATAAGACTAAAATAAAATGCAGAAACAAATTGTAAAAATTCAAGAAGCAACTTTAAATTCTATGAAAAACAAAATTTGAATACTATAAGGAGATGAGAAGGACTTAAATTCTAAAAGGTATCAT